TAATTAAGTGGCGGCCGCCAGATAATTATCTAGCGGCCGCCAGTTAACAGATATGACATTTTAATTCACTAGTGGCACTAACGGGCTTCCGTATTTATGCAAAAAGTTTGTTAAATAAAAAAAACCGGATTCTCAGGGACTTAAAATGTTTCTGAGATTAAAAATATCAATAACGAAAAATATAACAGAAAAATTGGGAAATGGAGTTATTAATTAATTACTAAAGGAAATTAGAATTGCATAATTTAATTTTTATCTGCCCGTCACAACAATCGGTTTTTTTTTTTTTTTTTTTTTTGTTCTGTAACTTTTGTCTTCATTCGTAATTTAATATGATGTACTCTGTCTTTGTATCTGTTGTTTTTCGGTAACCTATGAACAAATGAATAATAATAATTAAAAAAGAAAATATGGTGTAAATTAACAGTTTTTTTTTTGTTTTTTTTTTTTATTTTAAAACAATTTTGTATATTTTGTTCAAAAAATGAATAATATCAGTTGTATAACTATAGTATTACAGTTTGCAGAATTAAAACATCTTACAGGTAACAAGTCAACAAGCTTCACACAATGTGTTATATCTCTGCCTCATTGTATAACCGCTGGCTTGAGATCTATGGGATGTAAACCAACGCATCAAGGGCCGGTTAAATGCCATAATTTGCAATTGCGTCCATACTTATTATATACCGCGCCAATCTAGTCTAGACTTAAATATAGTTAGTATAGTACGTGGTCGGACGTTTCATCGACAGACATTTGGTCGACGGATTATTGACTGAAATACACCACACGAAAGCCAATTTGTCTAATAGTTAGTTCGATACTTGGTCTATCACCGCTCGCTGCCTGCATGCCTTCATTTTGCTGTGTTTATTTTTATGAAATGCTACCAAACAAATTAGAAAACAGACGATAATGAGACCTGCACGTGCCACTATTATTGCAAGTGACATTCCGCTTAGATTGTTGGACGAATTATTTTTATCTGTGAATGTTTTCTCTAAATCAGTACGCTTATTATTCCAAAGCAAAGTTAATAAGTAACTGTCATTACCAAAAATATTGTCAGCCATTATTGTAATGGCCGTCCCATTCACAATGCTCTTAATAACACATACGTACAACATATCCACCATATGCCTACATTTACCAGATAAAGTTGAGTTTTTCAGATTGTCCAAAAAAAATATCCAACTCACACTCGCCATAGGATTCGATGTAACATTCATTGATATAGATACATTACTTATCTCAAATAGCGAATCGTCAAGTGAGTAGGATGTATGCGTTGTAAGGATTTTTGGTGAGTAACTGACATTAAGTGGCGCACTGGTACAATTTAAAGTCATCTCAAAGGTGAATGTAACTTCACAGTATAATATCGCTTCGTTTAAATCGTAAGACACATTAAGAAGGATTTGCTGTGGTTTAGTATTGTCGCTCAGCGAGTTTGAAGCGAGTTTGCGTCGTTGATTATTTAGGTAAAGAACCCATATTTCTAATGAATACAGGTTCATATCTTCATGCCAGCATCCAAATTTTATTGATTCATCTTCTTGAACATCGTATTCTTTATCCGTACAAACGGGTTTTTCTGGCTTTGAATATACGGTAATATTGGCGACATTGCTCACGCTACAATAATTCTTCCGGGCAAAATCAAAACATGCTTTACATGTGTACATACCACTGTGTAATGTAATGGCATTATTTATTATCAGCTTGTGAGTGTCACTGCTAAAGTTACACGCAACAGAAAAAAAAAAATCATAACCAAGTAAAATAGTTGTATTTTCACTTATTTTGAAGTCCTCCATATACCACAAAATAGTATATAAATCTATTTCTCGATTTTTTTTAAATTCACACGTCAGCGTTGCATTTTCTGAAACGAAAATGTTATTGTGTGTAGGCTCTAACGTTAGGCCTATATTTTCTCCAACTTCACACCACACTGCCGACGGCTGAGATAAAAGCAAGAACAGACAAAGGTCGATCCACTTCAACATGATGTTTTCGAGTGCTTTGATGTTTAATTAAGTCATCCTTTTTAGTAGGTCTACAGACTTTCACTTTCGAACTTTCAGCAACAATTCTACTACTTTTTTTACGGAAGTTGCTAAATACCACCACGACTTCAACCGAGAGAGGTGTGACTTCTAAGGGTGACGTCATGAATATTCGTATACCCCTTTTACATTGCCAAAGGCAGAAAAACCCCGTGTTAATTCCGGATTGATCCCGGGCGATGGTGATCATCACTTCGCTCAAGGGTAGTTGCTAAATGCAACGGGTTCAGCCGAGGGGGCGTGGCGTGTATGGTGACGTCATGTGTAATTAAACCATCTACCTAAAATCATCACACATACACCGTGTGTGACTAATGTGACATACTTAGCGAAGAATATGAGCTTAGTTTTGTGCTGCTGTACGGCCGGGTGTATGGAAGGCTACCACCGCCAAAAATACAAAAGTGAAACGAAAAAAGACCTTCCACAAAAACGAACAACGTATTTTCCCAAAGGATCAACGTATTTTTCCAAACAAACAACGTATTTTCCCAAACGAACAACGTACTTTCACCAACGATTGTCTTTCAAAAACGATCGACAACTTAATTTTCCAAACGAACAACGTGTTTTCACAAACGAACCACGAACATTCACGAACGTACTTTCACAAACAACCTACTATCCCAAACGAACAATTTTGTGAAAAGAACAACGTGGACTCTTCCATATTTTGGGTGGGGTAATTGCCTGAAGTGAAGGCCCTTATAGATCAGAGGTACGAGGTACAGTAGGGTACTCGTATGAGGACGCGAAAAAAAAATATGACAGGCAACAATTCTGAATCTCCAACTGAAGCAGTTCGCTATATTAAATTGGGCAGTTGAACTGCTGAATCAACCCTGGAAGCGTAATAGTTTGGGTAATTACTATGCTTGAATATGTTCATTGGCGCCTCAAGACCTCATAAGCCTATTTATTTATAGGCCTTTGGTTGGCATTGAGTTTTCGAGGTTTTAGCAAATATATTGTAGGCCCTATAGATAGGCCCATGTATATAAGTATGGTTTACCGATTGCCATTACTATGCATCAGCTTTATTTCTGGAACATAATTCTATTCCATATATATGTGTATATTTGTGTCTCGTTTTTAATCAGGACATTTTGCCCTCTGAATGTTACAGCTACGAAATTGCATTTGGGCTAAAATTATAATTTTGATCTGTAGGCATATAATTGACTTTTTAAGATCTTTTTAAAACGTATTAATATACAGATATAAGGATATTGTTTCGTCTATACTCAAAAACTCAGCCTCACCCTTTGCTGATTTTTAATAATAATGCCATTTATTTTAAACGAAGTTCGAAACAAATAATAGGGGAGACAATATTAACTTTCATCAATCGGGAAATGATATAAGGTTAACGCCTACTCAAATAAATTCACATGTTTAGTCAAGCGTGACGGCCTAGCAACAAGTACCCGTTGCCAACAGAGCCTCTGCTTGCCACTTTACACTCGCGATAGATCGTAACTCAGTATTACGCTACAGTACAAATCCAAACATTTCCTATAATAATGACAACCATTCATACATCCTATCTGGAGTCATTCATATAAAATCTAATATTTTCAACAGTACATGGACTTTAACTACAACCTTCCAAACGGTACCAACAAGAATAAATCATCTCTATGAAAATTATCACATCAATTAATATACTGCCATCTACTACACACAGGCCTATATCCTGCCTATCGGCGTATTGTCTCCGCATCTCATATTTTACGCTAGGCCTAATATACGTATATTTACATATACTTGTATATGTATTTCCAACTAAATTATTTAGGGCCTATTCCGATCATCCATAATATTATTCTCTATATTATTAACAATAGCATCATATAATTACTTACATTCTGGTCTCTCAAATCAACATAACAATCAACGAAATTGAACCTATTCTCAACTAAACTTTGCAGGTCAGGTATGCTCTGGACGTTACTATGTGCAACCTCTTTACAGAGGGCGCACTCCAGTAATTATTTTCATTAATAAATGAAACACTCCCCCCACTAAAACCGAATAACACAAATTAATCATTTCTAATCAATCATATTATTACATTTTAACACAATCACAGTTCTCATTATTTCCTAACGTTCATTGTTCCTCGACAGGTATCAACACTACAAGTCTCTGGGCAGCACGCTTGATCATCACAAGAACTCCAGTTTTTATCTTTCACATTTCTTACTTGTCCTTGCTCATCAGGATACGTCGGTCGATGTAACAAATCCCATTTTCCATTTTCTTCGGTAGACATTGCTGTTCTGAACTAATACAACATCGTTTATTTATCAACATGCCACTTCTTCCTTATGATTAGTGTTGTTCACTTTTTCCAAAAGTTATTTACAAGACAATGTATGAAATGTATCCTTTGCTTCGGTCCGACCTGTCCACACCATGGACCATCTGGCACTTTGGTCGATGACCTGCCAAGTAGCAAGTCGTTCGGACACAAATAATTTCCTTCATCCGGATTGTCAGGATGTTTTCCGACAGGCCTACCATTTAACAAGTTTGAAAGTTCAAACATCACTGTCTGTAGTTCCGTCATATATAAGACTTGTTCGCCTATAGTATGGAACAGAGATTTCTTTACCCCTCTCAGCAAATTCTCGGTCACACCATTTTGCCAAGGTGCGTTGGGCGTTGTAAATTTCCATTTGACTCCCTGCTCGCCCCCGAAGCTCTTCAAAGCTTTGTCAGCAGCACTGAGCTGTGCACCACAATCAGTATAGGCTTCTTTAGGTTATCCTCTTGCGGACACAAATCTTCGGAACACTTGTAAAAATGCTTCTGTGCTGTAGTCTGTTGCTATATCCAAATGAATTGCTCGTGTGACGAGACGATTAACAATGACTCCATAGGCTTTGCCTGTGGTTCTCCTCTACACTTCCCATCTAATCACAAATGGCCCAAATAAATCCATCCCGATGTAAGTCCATGGTGGAGACGGCTTCATCCTGTGGATAGGAAGGGTCGCCATATGCTGCCCCACATGGGATGCAATTATGTTTTACACGCTTCACTAGTTGCCTCATTCTAATCACCCAGTAGTGTGCTCTTACTTTCGCAACTGTTGCTGATATCCCTGTATGTCCGTTAGCGTGTACGTTTTCAACTATCAATCAGGTAACATGATATTCATATGGCAACAACGGCACAGTTTCATGATTGTAACTAAAATGTACGTGGTTCCTGATTATATCGCCTTCTACTATAACCTCGTCTTCTCTCAGCCTGGGCCCAGTGTGGCATACTTCTTGTCAAATTCTGACTTATTTTCTCTTAGTAGTGTCAACATGGGCCTTTGAAGCTCTTTAACCCACAAACGCTTTGTTTTCTTCAAATCATCTACTGACAGGTCTCCCACCAACGCCTTCAAGCTTCTTCTTCTGCATGCCTTTATAACTCCGGAAGTCACTCTCATAAGTTTGTGACAATCACCAAACTTCTTTGGACTCAAAATACTTGTCAGTGTGAATTTTGGTTCACTATCGGCAGGCAGCACTACTTTAACTCTTTCTAGGAGTTCCTGACTTCCACAACTCTGCGACGTTGGCCACTCTTCTACGGACCGTTTTAAAAACTCTGGGCCACATTGTCACGCTTTCATCTCCTTTAACCCTCTAGATACCGTCTTCGACTGTAGTCGAAATTGACCTCAAACCGAGAATTCCCATTTTCGACTGCAATCGAAATTTCGTGACTAAAAAATAGGTGGTTTTCAAATCGCTCTTCTGTTTTTATTTTAGCTCCAATACGCCAGAAATTTTGAACACGCATGCGTGAAGCTTTTGTTTTTCGAAATCTGTGAAGAACTCACATGCGCTTATATAAAAATTTTTAGAAATATCAATTTGAAATCGTTATTAATTTCAAAATTTTTCGAAATGGCCGCACAAGATGTGTACACAGCTGAGCAAGCAATTGACCTGATTTTTGATTGAGACACTGGGATCAGACTGTACCTCTTGATATAATGTCCACCACATTATCTTCTCCTGCAATCCAAAACCAATCTTGGGGGTCTGTGTGTCTTTGGATTTCACCGATGCGCGTTGCCGCAAATGTTTTAAACCCATAACCATGGAATGGACAATCATGCTCTTTGAAAGCAAATGTTGGTTTTCTCCATTATGGTTTTCGCCAAACGTTTGCTCAAGACTGCTGCACTTAATTCTGGGTGTCCCGAAAGCTCAGACCACGAAAGCTACGACCTGTAGACCACGAGATATCAGACCCTCTCGAAATATCAGACCCCGCAAATTAAGACCCTCAACTTAGTATGCCATAATTTCTAGACAATACCTTTATTCGAAAGCTAACGCCAATATAAAGAACTGACTAATCATAAAATAAACACCATTAAGTATCATCGCTACCAGCTAGGTCCCTATTTGCGACGTTTACTGGAGAGAACTAATACAGTACAAACAAACCGGCTATTCGCACTCCACGGAACCGTACGGTACGGTTTCGGTACGTTTTCAACAGCGGTTTCTAATGCACATTTACCGTACGAATACTGTATCCGATATTATGGTTCTCGATCGTTCTCACTCTTTATATTTTTAGGATAGTTTGTTCTTTTTACATTCACCTTACCTTTCTTTACTTGCTTCTTTTTTATATTCGGTTTCAAAATATTATGTAATAAAAAAGATAAAATTACTAAAAGCATAGAACATGAAACCAGAACCAGTGGCGGATCCAGCGCATAGGGTGGGGCCTGTCTCTTATACACATCTAGATGTGTAAAAAAAGTTAGTCCAATTGAGGGCGTAGTTTATTTAATATGGAAGGCCACATTCACATTTTTTAAACTCTCAAGTATTTATAGTTCTTCTTCAGTTTTTTGTGAAACTTGTATGATTAAAAATACTCCGTAACACTTACGTATTTATACTTTATCAAAATGCATTGCCATATTGGTAATTATTAGTGAACGTATCATTTGCTAATAAGTTTTGTAGAGACGAAAATGGCGTATCATGGCCTTGTGACATCACTTCTCGAGGTA